GGAGCCTCCCAAAATTAGTGAGCTGCGCTCCTATGTGTAGCAGGCTCATGGGAGAGAGGCTTGCACGTGGCCCATTTTGCATGAATTTCGAGTCAGTGAAACTACTCTTACACCGATTACACTCAAAGGTGTGCCATGCAAGTGTTTCCTGATAGCTATCAGCTGTTTCCACGCACGCCACATGGCGTGCATGCTGAAGCCAGAATTTGTTCGAAGCTAAAGTTTAGCCAAAGGATTCTGCGCAATGAACATGCAAAGAGTGCCGCGTCCAGCCCGCATCACTGACCTGTCAGATCCTTAAGGCAGCAGGCAACAATCCTACAAATGAACAAGCGACATGTCATCAATCAAGCTGGTCAAGCGGTATGCGCTCCAAACCTTCGTTTGCATCTTGATTTGTCATGTTCTGGTCGTGCCAGGTGAGCGGTGAAGAATTTGTGGTGGAGGACTTGCACTTTGATGTTGAGCGTTCAGGGCGGTTTTTTTTTTGTGTGTGTGAAGCTTTGATGGACAAACAAAGGTGTTGGAAGCACGATTTCCAGTCAAACTGCTCGTCGAACTGATGGTTATGGTTGGAACATGTCAATCTGTCGAAGCACCTTGGAGCATCAGAATTTGACTGACTCTTGTTTAGTTACTTAGCTACTTGGTATCACCATTGAGGCCGCTACTCTGTGTATGTGTTTCCAAGAAGCTGACGCATTTGTGCCTTAAATGCTTGCTCCAAGAAACACAGTCTTTCAAGGCACTTTTCGGTTTGGAGTCCAGGACAACCCCCTTGCACCGATTCTGCTGGACGACGGTCGACGGTCCGACCGTCGAATCGCTCTGCACGACATGGACGGCGCGTGCCGGGAGGTGTTGCCTTCGCTGGGAGAGCGAGGTGCGGGATGGATTTATTCTGATGGTGTGAGAAGTCATTCTTTTGCAATGTGTAATTATGTTTATGCGTCTCAAAAACTGAAGCGTGCGTGCTTCAAATGTTTCCTCAAAAGACAACGTCCTTGCCACTTCTAGTGAGATGTCATTCTTGTTTGGCGTATCGAAAAGGGCTGTTGATGGTCAGAATCAGAATTCATACTCTTTGCTACAGGCCCGCGAAAAAGAATGCACATGCTCTTGTTTTATTGTGCGTTGCCCAGTTGAGGGGTTCTGACTTTGTACAGTAAAGTACAGTTGTGTTTACATGGTTCACGTCAACAGCCACTCTACCAATACATTCCAAGTTATGGTACACGTGATGTTCGCCGAGTCCATGTTGTGGTTGTTCATGGAGTTTACGAACTTCCAAGACACGACATACTCCAAGCGGAAAGATGCGGAAAGGGTGACCTTCAGCAAGCACCAAAGGAGTTTTGTAGTAGCACGTTCATCAATAGTAGAGGCACCGGAGGCCCCCACAACCCATCAGAGCGGGTATTTTATACACTGCCGGGAGGGAGGGGAGAAGAATTCCAGTCTTACCCTCTTACCCAACATGTGGGAGAAGATGCTTTGCTTCAGGCAACGCAGAGAACGCCAGGAGCTCAATGCCGCCTGGGGTGGACGAATCACAAGCGCAAGAATGGGTCTCCACCTGTATGGCATGCTAAGGTTGCTTTACATACATGACAACGCCACTATCACTAGAACACGATCGGATGGATTGAGGCAAAGAAACTCACCAGCCTTCCCTTGGTTTATATTTTTGTTGGATCGTTTTTCATTCAAAAAACCAGGACCGATAGTCAGGCAAACAGCAGACTTGAGGAGATCATCGTGCCTCAGAGTGGCCAGAATTTGGCTGACCAGTTTTGGAGAGCCCACCGTGCTCTCCGCGCTCTCCGCGCTCGGAGAGGCGCGGCGCTCGTTCCCGCACTGGCGGCTTCGGCGGGCGAGGATGGTACATTCGGTGTTCTGGAGTCTAGAGTTTCCACCTTGTACGGGAGACATGTTTCCAGAGTTCTGAGAGTTTCATGAGGAGACGTGGTTCGCCTTTGAAGCTGTGAAAAGAAACGCCACGAAGAGAAACATCCGCTCCGCTCAGCTCGGGAAATCCTGCGAACAGATTGGTTGAATCTGATGAATCCGGGGTCAGGTGAGAATCGTTGAGCTCTTCCTCCAAATAGAGAACTGAGCCACCGAGACCCGCACAGAAGTTTTCTTCACAGCCTCACAGCCAGACTCGACCAGTGGAACTGTTCCAAGAGTTGTTCCAAAATGTTTCAATCATGGTGACTCCGAGTACAAGGGCCATCGAAAGGCTTGTGTTTCGACTAAGACCATGACTTGTGGTATTCTCCCCCATGCATACCCACTCCACTCTGACTCAAGAGTGAAGGGTTTCAAACTGGACTGACAGCTTCAGTGGCCCAAGTTTGATCCTCTGCAGCACAACTCTCAGCATTGTCATGCATGATCCAGGAAGCACCAGTGTTTTTGCATGATCCAAGCTCAAAGGTGACTAATATGTACAATAGTTGGGAGAGGTATCAAAAAATAAATAAGCAGCAAGAAAAATTGATAAACATAAATAAACAATGAATAAGCATCAAAAAAACATTGTTTGGTGACCAGTACCCTAGTCCTCTGGTCCTTTGGTCCCCTGGTCCCTTGGTCCCCTGGTCCTTTGGTCCTTTGGTCAGCTGTCCTCTGGTCCCCTCGTCCTCTGGTCCCTTGGTCCCCTGGTCACTCCCTCGCTCACTTGCCGACCCTTTGTGGGCCACACGAGAGTAAAATTTAGAGTAGACAGAAGCCATCGCCAGGCAGCATCCCTTTGGTGGGCCACCCGAGGATAAAATTCAGACTAGGAAGGGCCCATTACAACGTAGCACCACTTTTGTGGGCCACCCGAGGATAAAATTTAGAGTAGAAAGAAGCCATTGCAACGTAGCATTCCTTTTGTTGGCCACCCGAGGGTAAAATTTAGAGTAGGAAGAAGCCATTGCAAGGCAGCGTGTATGTTTCCCAGGGAGCTTGAAAGGGCCACCAAAAAGCCTGTGTGCGTAGATGAGTCCAGCGAGAGGCTTGTGTGCACAGATGAGACACATCTGTGTGCGCAGATGATGCGGCGCGGATGGGCGAAACTGAGTGCGCGGATGAGTCCCTGCCCCCCCTGGCACTTTGATCCCCCGGTCCTACTGCAAATACGCCCTAGTAGTTCCTCTCTTTGTCTTTCCTCGCTGCTTCTCTCCTTTGTCTTTTCTGTCCCTCTCTCCCTCTGTCTCGCTCTCCTGCTACATCGCTTTATCCTTCTGCTGCCGCTGCTGCTGTGAAACATGCTGCCTATACTTTGTTTGCATTGCGGGGGGGGGCGCTGCGCCCTCCCCCGAACCCCCTCCCGCTTCTTTAATCCCCAAGAAAGCTCCAAGCCAAGCCCAAAGAAACTCTAAAGAAGCGACGTCCCAAGCGAAACCCACCACATCTACAAATGTCGTCATTCCCAAAATGCTGCCTCTGCCATGAAATCTGCATTTCAAGGTTCACAAAGTGCTGCACCTGCCACGAAATCCGCACTTGGACGTGCGCAAAGCATTGCGCTTACCAACAACTTCTGCACTTCCACCTTTGCAACCTGCTACACCCACGAAATCTGCTCTGCTAGGTCCACAAAGCACTGCGTCTGACACTGCAAGTGATAACTATTTTTTGATCGCAACTAATTATTTTTTGATCCCCTAAAACAATATATTTTTTGATCCTTATCAGTTTTTTGCTCCTTCACCCACAATATTTACTGTAGCAGGCTTCCAGGCTTTCCGTTATAATCCAGGAAACTCTACAAGTAGTGTTCTTGCTTGCAGGACCATTCAAGCATAGGAAGTGCCAGTGGACACTTTGGCCCGGCTCTTGGTGCACATCCTTTGACGGTGCCTCGAGGAAATCTTTCCGAGGAGAGCAGGTTGCATGTCGTGGTTTCTTGTTTTCGCCAAGAGCGTCCAATCCATGCGAAGTCATTTTTCATCCATGTTCTATTGATGGTTTTTTACTTTTTGTCCTATCCATTCAATGAGGTTTTGGTTGTCCGAAGGTAGTAGTGGTAGAACCAATCTTCATCCCATTCTGAAGCTGGCAAAGCTTTGTTTTCTTCAAAGTTCCATCAAATAGCGTCCACTGAGGTCGCATGGTTGCATGTGCCAGGTGGTGTTTTACATGCGAAAGAAGGACCTTTTCAGGCTCCATGAGCTGCCAAACAGGAAATTAGCTGCAGATGCATAGAACTCATAGAACTGTTCTTTTTCAGAGGTCACATGCAGTAATCAGTAATTAGTTTCATTTAACATTTGGCTATCCCAAGGCACAGACATTCGTTGACTTCCGTGTTTTGTTCTTTTCACTGTTTGTCCTGGCTTGAAGGTCTATTTTTGAGGGAGGGCGGATTGGTGCTTGCAACGGTTGGAAGTTGAAAGCGCACTGGGGATGTCCTTACTGTAGTGTTGGTTGGAGCGATTGTGTTGTTTGCTGCCACCTCACCACTTGCCCTTAGCCATTTGGCTCCTCCATCGATCACAGTGGTCCACAGTGGCCCAAGTCGAGTCATGCTGAACCCAAGGAAGCACTGCTTGGCACGGCTCCTGTGCAAGCAGGCCAAATGCAGAAGGCTTCCAAAGGCAATGGGTAGGACGGCGCCAACAAGTGCGCACATGCCGCAGTGTCAGGCAGCCCTGTGGTCGCGCAGATCCTTTTTTGCCTGGCCGGAATGGGCAGCAGGCGCTGCCGCTGCAAATGATGTTGCGGCAGTGATGAGCAACGTGGATGGGACCATTAGTTTGTTCCAACGCTTGCCTTCTTTGAAGCCTCTGCTTCTCATCCAATCGTGATGTATATTTGATTTTTTTGTCGAATTGGTGTGGTGAACAATCTGGATGGGGCCATTAGTTTCCTCCAACGCTTGCCAGGTTTCAAAACCACTGCTTCTCGTCATTGGTGAAGCTTTAGCTTTTCAACAGGAATATGGTTAGTACCCACTTTGTGTTCTTTCTGCTTAAAGCTTGCATCATTCAGGAAACCAAGACTCTCTCCTTTCTCTCAGAACTGTTGCTTGTTTGTGTTGCATGCTGTGCGTGTGCTTCCAAGTATTGCCTTTTTGTGATGCTGAGGATCAGCCCATTGGAACAAGCCAAAGGTTCGCTGCAGAATTCCAAGCAGATCTGCCACCCAGAGCTGTTCCAGGAAATCCAGACGAAGTCAGCAGAATCAATGACGCAGCCAAATTGGCAGGGCAGAATCCGTTGGGACTCCAGAAGCTGGTCCATGAGATCTTTGTCGACATTGTGCTCCTAGAGTTGCTCTCAACTTGCAAAACAAGTCAGTTCCGCATTGTCGACGGAATTCCCATTGTCTACTGCTGGGCAGGTGCACATCTTGAGTCATTCTGTTCAAAGTTTCTTCTTGTGCCCAAGCCCTTCCGGCCAGTTTGCCAGCCCATGGGTGATGCTGTTAAGGTTGAACAGCTCAGGCAAAACGATGCCTTCGTTGCAGTGCTTGATCCTGCTCCTCCAAGCGAGACATGGCAGACTTGGCCAAAGAATTTGTCAGTGTTCGACGGGATCAAACGATTGAAGGAAGGGTGGATGCCGTCACCCGAACAGGATGCATCCGATCCGTGCCATGAGGACGTCGTGAAAGTATTACTAACAGTCGACAACCCGATGGCAATAAGTTCCAGCAATGGTGTCTTCTATTTGACTAATTCACGTGAGGTGAACAGAGTGGAATTGCTGAAGTATGGTCTCGACTCCAAGGGGTTGATGTTGTATTCGTGGCCAGTGCCGACTCATCAATTTTATTGGTTAAAGGTCGCAGTGGCAGGTGACAATTTCGTTGCCTTAGATCAGGACGGCCGAATTTGGATCCCAGCCCTGACACTGCACCATTGCATTTGCTACTCCACACCCCAAGAGCCGCTGCCGTGGTTGACTCTCGTCTCTTCATCGCTGATACGGGCAACAGTCGGGTCCTTTGCTTGGACATGCGGAAGAATGCGTGCGAGATTGTGTTCCAGGGACAATGTCCAAGTTTGCTTGCAGCCGATCGCGATGGCCTCTGTGTCTACGATGCTGGGCAGGACAAGATCTTCCACGTGAGCATCGGCGCATGGGAGGTTGACCATGTCTTGGGCACAGGCACCAGGGCCTTCAGTCCTGAGGGGTTGCCACCACTATCTACGAACCTGAGCATTGTGATAAGCATGGCACTTGGTCGTGACAGAGAACTGGCTTTCGTGTGTTCTGGCGACGACACCGTTCGCAAGTACAAACTGCCTGCAAGTTTGCGACCACTTGCACCTTCCTGCCAGTCATCCACAGGACCAATGTCAGCCACAGATGACGTACAGGATGCACTTGTCCCACTTCAAAAAGATGGTTTTCAGCCTTCGTGTGGTTTCAACTTTGTCCCCTTCTCCGGACAACCTGCGCAGATTTTCCTATCAGAACGATTACCACACGATCGAAACAACATGTGCATCAAATGGTCTATGTTGGCTCCACCGGGTGGACTTGGCATATGCTTAGTTGCAGACCCCTTCGGAAGTTCCCATCGCAGATTGGTGGATTGTCATATCTTAAGCCCTCCTGAGTGGAGCGCAGAGACATACATCACCACAACCTCAAAGATGAGGCAGCAAGTAGATGAGCCCAAGCAAAGGCAGAACCAGCCTTTTCGAAATGCTTGGGAGACATGTTTGGGCAAATTTCGCGATTTTGTGATGGCCTTCAATGAGAAAGAACCCGCAAAGGAAGATTTCTTGGGGAAACCGTTCTACTTCCAACATGAAAACCGCTTTGAGGCAATTGTGGAGAAGATCTACAATGAGGAGGCAGACTGCATCAAGTGGCAGCTCATTGAGTTAAGAATCAACGGAAAGAAGCGCGCCGAAGCCTTGGAGCCCATCACTGTGGGTGTTGATGTGCCAATAATGCTCTGTGTGTTTGAGGGCACAACAGGGGCTCTTTTGGAGTGCACGGAAGCTCCCAAAGTTATTGTAGATAGCTCCTACATTGACAGATAGCAGGTTCATGGGAGAAGCTTGCATGTGGCCCATGTTGCAAGATGAATATCGCGTCAGTGAAGTATAGTTGTACACGATGCAAGTTTTTTTCCCGATATCTATTGGTTTATGTGCTCTTCAGCTGTTTCCACGCACGCCACATGGCGTGCATGCTGAGGCCGGAATCTGTTGATAGATCAGCTGACAAAGTTCAGCGAGAGGATTCTCCAAATCCAGCCTAGAAACAGTGCCGCATCCAGCCTCCATCACTGACCCGTCAGATCCTTGAAACAGTAGGCGACAAGCGAAACGTCATCAAGCTGGTTAAGGGGTATGCGCTCTTTTTCTTGACAATAGTTTGGCCTTGAAGGTTCCCCGGCACTTTTGTTCGAGTCTTTTCTCCGTCATGAGGACACTGTCGTGCCAGGTGAGCAGTGAAGAATTTGTGGCGGGGGACTTGGGCTTCGATGGTGAGCCTTTGGAGCAGTTTTGTTTGTGAAACATAGAGGTGTTGGAATCATGGTCCCAGCCGAACTCATCCAACATGATCGTTGGGACATCTCAATTTGTCGAAACAACTTGGAGTATCAGAATTTGGCTGACTCTTGTCTATTACATAACACCTGTAGTATCATCGTCTAGGCCACCGCTATGTGTATGTGTGCTTCCAAACATTTTTGACGCATTTGTGCCTTAAATGTTTCATTCCCCACAAAGGCAGGCAGTCCTTGTACTTCGTTCAGTTTGCAGTTCAGGAGAACCTCCGCACCTCTTCTGCGTCATCTCTGCTGTCAAGCCGAAACGACGCCGCCCAAGCGCTCTGCTCGGCTCGACGGCCACAGCGCTCGAGAGGCACCGCTCGGGGCAGCGCTTGGAGTGCTGCGAGGATGGATTCATTTTCCGATTCGGCATGCGAAGTCATATTTTTGTTTCGGGCGCATCGAAAAGGAATGTTTGTGGTCAGAGTTTCTTACTCTTCCTCGGTGTGTTTAAAAGACATACCGACCCACGAAAAGGAAACTCAGGACATTCTTTTGACATTATTGTATTTGTCAAGGCGGAAAGATGCGGAAATGAGGACCTTCAGCAAGGACCAAAAGGAGTTTTGTAGCCGCATGTCCATCAATAGTAGACGTACCTGTGCCACAACTACAAAAGCTGTCCCTGCTTGTGAAGACTTGCGTTCTGTTTGGGCCTGCTAGAAAGGTCTTGGTCTGATTTTTTGCATTTTGCACACTGCGGTGGGAATTCCAGTCTCACCCAATGTGTCGCAGAAGATTTCGTGGGCGGCTGATGCTTTGCTGCAGGCAACGCAGACAACGCCAGGAGCTCAATGCCACACCGTCTGGGGTGGACGAATCGGAAGAATGGATACCACCTCTACGGTGGTCAAGGTTTCGTTTACATCCGAACTGCTTGGGACAACGATTTGTGGTCTCGAGTGTTGGGAGAATTCTTGCAGGTCCAACAGGAATACCTATATTATAATCTTTTAATCTCTCATTTCTTTGACATTGTCCATCACATTTCTTTGAATGGATCTTGTCTAGATCTTGCCATGTAGGTCTGCGCGGTCTCACGGTTGATCCCCAAAGATCCAATTCGAAGGCCCCCCAGCAAGCTGGGGCCAGGGGTGTTCCGCCAGCATCTGCCAGCCGACAAAACACCCGAACCCGACATCGAAAAATGAGAAATTCCATGGTGATTCCTGTTGATCGCTGGACTCCGCGCATCACAGGAAATACATCCGAGAGGCGTTCTGATTCCATGCCCCCCTTTTTTGCTGTTTCAGATCCCTGAAAACGAGTCGTGATGAGTCAACCAAAAGCTGGACAATCTAGGAGTTGCTGGCGCGGTGATTGGCCGAACACCGTCAGAGGTCATGAGGACATGGTCTCTTCGAAATGGCTTTGGATCGACTCCAGAAGACGTGACCTCCGGAGCCTCCGCTCGTTTGTGGGTGGAGAAGTCCTCATGGCCTTGGTCCAGGGGTGAAAAAGAACATATGAAGACAAAACAGAACAAAACACCTTAACACTCCATATACCATTTGGGCAAGGGGTCCAAGAAAAGGAACTATGAAAGCTTCATGCATGTCACGGATGATTCCATGAATCGGACGCGCATTTGGATACTTTAGACGACAATGATGGCATTTTCAGGCGAAGTTGCACGGCTATTTGGGGCTCCGTGCAACTTGTGAAGACCCCATCCAAGGCCCTGGAGGCGCCCTTCTGATGACAAGGACGGACCCTTTTGATGGAGGCGCAGTGTGGATAGGAGTTTCCCATCGACAGCGAGATGCTTTGAGATGCTTTGCCATGGTGATTTCCTGGACCCTTCTTTGGTTTCAACAGTCGTAGTTTGCCCAAAAAATAGGAGAGATTCCATCGTGTGAAAGATGGCCTTGTTTGTTGTTTACGATTGATTGAAATGAACATTTGTGCTTCGGTGGACAGACTATGGGGACAAGGGTTCTTGTGCGGGCTGTTGTATGACTTAAAAAGTTCAACGTCTGTCCGTGCTACATAATTGATGATTGAATGCAGTATAGTATAGCTGATTGCACCCCAAAACCACGCCAAGACGTGGGCGAATTTGTGACATATTTCACTTTGCCACAAGTGGAGGTGGCTGAGAAGAGCAACACGGTTCTCTCAGAGCATGCCATGATTCAACAGTCTGCAGTCGTCAAGCCAAAGAAAGAGCTCAAAGTCCTCATGGACTACCAAGCACCTTGGCCAAGAGCCCACAGAGCCCACGAAACGTCCGTAAACTTAATGTTCTCATAGGATTGTCGCAAAGGCGGAGTTGGTCTTCAAATATAACACCCTGATGCGCTTTGATTCGGTGTTGGACCTTCATTCACACCCTGAGTGCTGCCTGATCAGGTGTCCAGCACAGAGCCTGCTGAGCTTGAGCCAGAGACGGTGGCCTGACAGGCTTGCGTTCCTGCTCAAGTTGGGGCAGCTGCAGTCGATTCGACGCTCAAACATTTGGTGAACCTGAGTTGCGCGATGCACTCATCATCTTACATCGGGTTGACCACCACGAGTGATTTAGTGGATTCAGGTGTTTACATAGGCTGACTTTGAAATCTAGAGAGTTTGCAGCCGTGCCTCTGATCACATTTTGAGCAGTTTCACTGGTGACTCGAGGACTGCATGACATGAGTGACATGAGTGTTGCAATAGATTCGCTGTGTGTGTTTTGCGAATCCAAACTGAGTCCAGTTGTTGTACCAAACAATTTGATGCTGCTCTATCTATTTATCGTTCCCCTCAGTGAGGCGGCTTTGGGAAACAGTACAGCTCAAAGTCTTTTTCAGAGCATTAAATTAATGCATTCGCTTTGGCCAAATAAGGTTTCTGAGACATCCGCTGAAGCCTGCGCGCCACTTTATGCGTAGAGTCGGGCCTAGAGTATTGAGATCAGCATTGCATCGGCAAAAAGGATCAAACAGGTTCACTGTGTTGACCGCATTGGAAATTAGCATCCAAACGCCTACTTTTGCACTTATTTTCAGGTTTGTTTTGACTGTGAGACGGAAGAGACGGGGTTGAATTTGTCTTCCCATCGTCAACCACCGTTCGGTGGCGCATGTTCGCACCATCGTCACTCCGCTCGCTTGCTCCAAATCACATCTGCTGTCTCAAGGGTTCAAATGCCCCGATAGCTGCTGTGAATAATCCAGAATCATGATGGGCCCACAGGTTCACAAGCAGAAATTAAACAGTGAGTACTTGCGACAGGACTTGTAACAAAACTTGGACAGGAAGATTTTGAAGGGCAGAAACTGGATCAAGTCCAGTAGTAAGTAGTGAGTTCATTTGAGCTTGGATGGATAGCCAACCAGGGCAATATGAGCCCACTAGCATCCACTAGCAGCCACAAGCCACATTTCCCTAGTGAAGACCACACCAATGCGGGCACCAAGTGGACTCGTCTTCAGACGAGGAAATGCCGATGCTCCAGACACTCGCGTGGGGCGCGTCTGAGATGGACACATTCAGTTGAAGATATTGAGATGGGGCTTATGTCAGGCGCAGGCTAGAGGCAGATCTTTGGCAAGCTGGTCGTTTCTGGCACGTTCTTAGACTAAGAGCATCTCACGACCACACTCTTTGCAGTGCATGAGTGCACTTTTCCTTGGCCCCACTGGCTTGAGAAGCGTCTCATGCCGGAGTTGCTGCCTGCTGCGCCGCGTGTGATTGTGGCTTTGGCGGCCTCGGCCTCAGCGTTCAGGGCCATGAGAAGAGTGGCCTAAAAGTCGATATCCCATAGGACATCACTGAAGAGTGGCCGTCTTTTGTTTTTCCACCACAGCAACTCAATTCTCATGGTCTTGAAGACGACGTTCCTGTAGCAGGCGGAGGTTTCACGAGACCATCTTGAGGAGGGTCAGCGTTTGCACCAATCCAACATGAAGACCTATCTCCCAGTAACTATATTCAGTATGCCTTCCAGCTTCATGACGATGTGGACTCCAATCGCTGGCTTGGCCGAACTCCCGAAGACCCCCCGGGGCTGCGAGTCCAACTGGGGCCTTTTCGGCTCATCGTTGAAGTCAGGTCCCTTCAACGGTCTCATCGGTCGCGGTGTTCGACAGGGAAGTCGCATGAATTCGTTCGCGTTGTGGAAGATCGACCATGGCATACACACCGACTGACTGGTGCGACTTCTGAGGAATGAGGCTGTTGGGATCCTTAAGTATACAAGGTATCTAATATAGTCTTTCATATAGTCCTTTTTGGGGTCAGCCACCCTCATATTCCCAAAAACCTTCCCTAAATGTCTCGCAGCTTCTTGGCCGTGTTGCACCTTGTTGGCGCCTTTTTTTTTTCTCTCAGCGATGGCCTCCAACCTAATTGCAATGGCCTCGACCTACTACTAGGGTTTTGGTTTCTCTCAGGTGCATTCTCAACGGACCTTCCGATGGCTCTGCCTCTTGGTCTTCGTGGCGGCTCTGGGCAGCTTGGTGCGCCGAAAATCGAGTCTAGGAGCGGGGTACGCCGCGGCAGAGCCCAGGCTGGAGCAGAGTCCAGGCTTGGAGGCCGAAGGAAGAAGAATTGCTATAGGATCGGAGATAGTTGAGGGAGGATCCAACAAAGATCCTATGATGGCGCTGTTCTTGCATCGCGCAAGCGCGAGCGTTCCAATCCGCGCATTTTGAGTGATGTGGATCACAAGGTACTTTTCTGGCCGATCCTCATCAAAGAAGATTTTGAGGCCCAAAACTCTGCAGCCGAAAACTTCTCGGGTGGACGTCTCGGGTGGACGGAGGGGCCCAACAAAAACAGGGTCACAAGTTGCAAGGCTTCAAAAACTTGCCTCATTGAATCATCCAACATCATCCAACACTCTGAAGCGAACCAAAACGCGCAACTGCTTTGGAAGTCCGAGGATTGGACCTCAAGTCGATGGGCTGTCGCTGGTTGTTTTTTGTCTCAAGAGGAAGCGGAAGCGGACGCAGCTCCCTGACGTGTTCCATCCCCCAAGGAGGTCCCGACCTGGGCCGCCTCTGAATGGAGGGACGAAGGCCTTGCAGATGGAATCGGTGACGATCGTGAATCAAAGACGCCATAATTACCGGACTCTTCCAAGGATTTGGAATCTACGAATTTGAGGGAATCCCAGAGGGTAACAGTTGAGGAATCCCAATTTGCTGCTACTTTTGTTTTTTTTCATGTCGCTCCCGACCCTTCCAGGCCTATCTTCAGTGCGATGGTCCGCAGCATGGCAGGTCAGATGACAGATTGCTGCCGTTTCTTGAATCATGGGAGGATGAAGATAGACGATCCTTTTGGATGATGAACACAATATTTTCTGGGTGACATTCGTAGGAATCCATGCTAAAAGACATGCTACAAACTCCTGTAGCTATCCTGTAGCTATACCATGGTGTTATTACTTCTCCTGCACCAGATGATTTCTTCATCTCAGTCCCCACCGCGTCGTGCCTTGAGATGGGCAGAAGTTTCTGTGTTACCAATAGGAGACTGGTCAGATTTTTGCTTTGGTCATATTCAACAACTCAACTCCAGGGTGCTTGTACATGAACCGGTGCAACACGGTCACCCGAACACGCACCAAACGTGACACCCGAAGGCGTCTGCCACATCTGTGGCGTTCGTAAACCAAGTCCTGCCCCAAACCCGTTGCTTGTCTGTGCTCCTAGTAGCGATGCCCTTTGTTCCTAGTAGCGTCCTTGCTCCTAGTAGCAAGGCCAGGAGCTCCTAGTAGCGTTCTTGCTCCGTTCGTAGCGTCCTGCTTTCTGTGGCGTTTTCCTGTCAGGCTTCATTTGCTGAGGGAGGTGAAGAAACAGGTTGCCCTCGCTTGCCCCGTTCATCGGCGGGATCGGGCGGGATCGGGTCGTCAGGCGTTTAGGGGGGACCACGTTGGCCGGACGTGGGGAGTGGTTGGCCGGACTTCTTCCGGGAAGCTTCAGAAAGGGACTTTCTTATATAACAAAAGCATAGGATACATATGGATACATCATTTCCGTATTCTTTGAATGAACGTGTTCCAGAATGTTGCAAGTCTTCCAGAAGGTCACCCCATATTAAACATGGAGATCAACGCGTTCTGGTGATGGGTGCATTTTTCCTTCCGCGGGTCTGGGCAGGTTCATTCATCTATCCATCTCTACCCTCTTGGTTGACTATACATGGACCGCAGAACTAACATGGACCGTAGAAAGGCACCCTGGGTCCGACGGTATTCCTCTACGAGTCCAAGTTTTCAGGCTTCATGTGTAGCAAATCAGCGGATGCCATTTGGACGACCAGAAGAAGTCAAAGTCGAAGTGGTGAAACCTCGTCATGGCGACTCCACTGGGGTGAGCCAATATTTGGACTGTCCGGGGTGACCACGGTACCAGACAACCTCGCAGAACGAATGGTCCAGGAGTCCAGACTCTTTCGCGAAGTCGTCGACTGGGCACGACGTCAGTGGAGATTTTGGTTCGATCCGTCCGACATTCGGATTCCGGTGCGTCGAAAGGGACACAGAGAAACACATAGAGAACCGGTTGCGAAGGCGAAGCGCGGGGGGGACTTGAGGATATTTTTTGAGGTTCTGGCAGGAGGTTTCTGCATGAAACGCATTGTGGATTGCTCTGAAACATCGGCTGATCTTTTTTGAACAAGGTTTGACTCGCAGACACGGGCCAGATGGCTTTGATGCACAGGTGCACAGCCACTGGCCAGACTGGTATGACTACTGGACGAGTGAATCAGCTGATTCACTTGGAGGCAAATGACTTGATGACTTTAGACTATGTTAAACTGGAACGCCGAATGGTTGCAGGGTAGCAGGAACCAGGGCATAGTTTTCTCACGCGTGAAGCAGCTCTATTTTGAACAAGAAAGGTCCTTGAAAACATGGGCAAGGCTATATGTCTCAAGTGAGAACGGGTATGGCCCAGACACTTCTTTTTGAAGCGACATATGAGGTACGGTTAACATTTTACGTAAGCCTGCAGTAAAGAGATGGACATGGGATCTCAAAGTGCAAGTTCCAGCTGAACAGCAAAATACACTTGCCACAAAACAATGATATACACAACCGGAAACACACGATATGTAACAGACTCACAACTCACAACCAAATTGAGATGTCCCTGGATTGATAGTCATATCTTTTTCCACCATGGCTCACGATCAACTGTGTGAACATTCCACGGTTTGATAGGTGGGTTTTCATATTTGATCTAGCCATACCAAGATGCCTAGCTGTCTTAAAAGGTGTTGACATCCTTTTGAGATGGCAATCCATTGCACCATGGGATTTCATTTTTCTTTTTCCGCCTCCCTCGGCCAAGAAGTCAGCATGGCATCGGCAGTCTCTTGGTGGCTCCAGCGAGACCTTGGAACATTTGAGATGAACATGGGCGGATGATTTGGACAGAGCGCGCGGATGTTTTGGAGAGTGCTTTTCTTGATTTGAGGGCAGCTATAGGTTTTTCTGGACTCTGAAGGTGTTTCGGAATTCGTTCTGGATGTTGACATGCAGGGTTTGCAGGGTTGATGCCTTAACGAAGCTGAACTGAAGATCTTCTGAACTGAAGATCCTTAGCGCCCGCCCGCGCTAGTAGAAGGTGCATGGTTCTGAACGCGCAGGGGTGTCCTACTGTGTGGCGTCCAGACTCCAGACCGCTTCAGTCTAGCCTCCAGTTTCAGCTCGGGTGCCGTCCTCATGGCGGCTTCCTGCCTGTGAGGGGCCTCAGGTGAATCCTTCACATCTGAGATCGGGACGGCATGGGTGCGACTGGACCTGACGACGACTCGACCTGGGCGCACGACGTGCATCGGAGCGGCGTGCTAAACCTGAAGAGCTTTCCCATCTCCAAAGGCCCAGCGGCGTGCTAAACCGATTGACCTGGTGGTGCGGTGGCGGTACAGTAGCGGCTGATTACAAGGAACATGCTCCCCAAATTGGATTGTAAAACCCCTTCCGCATCTAGATGGGGTGGCTTAGGAATCCAGATTCGACATGACTATGCTTCACGCTTCGCCCCTGGTTGGTCATCGCCGCTCTGCCACTCTGCCATCTCCAATCTTCGTGGCGATGTCGTGGCGACGACGACGGGTGGCCGGAGTGATCCAGCATCGACTCACGGAGGCGGAGGCTGCCATTTTTCTGTTACGCAAAGGGGTCTTTGCCATTGAAATCCATTGAACAGATTTAGATGCTGGTGTCCAGTAGGAAAGTGCCCAACAAAAACACTGCCATCCTTATTATAGGACTCGTGGGAAGCTTGCACCACTCTTGGACGTAGGTCTTGGGGGTGAACCCCAGAAAACCTCCACATGCAGGGTCTACCGCTTTCCACATGCCGCTGTGAGCGGGTTTCCCGAGGAAGTTGTGTTCGTTCTGTCGACTGGTAACCCACAGCCTCCGGATCAATCGCTCCGATGTTTCTAAGGCACCTGTTACTAGAAGCGATGCACTTGATGTGAACCGTTCTTTTGGTTCAAAGCATTGTGCTGTGAACCAACGGATTCGGCGATTCTTCTTCGGCTGACGCTGACAAGCGACCCGCATCTCGCAAGATCCTGCATCTCGAACGGGGGTTCCCAACGTCCCAACGTCGCAACGCCTAGTATCGCGATGTTTCTCATTTAAGTTTCAGCAGTTTTGAGACGGTCTTCCTTTGATGGTTTGATGCTTGGATATGCTTGGCGATATCTAAAACCTCACCACTTTCCTCCCACACATCATTGAGATTTCTGGACCTCGCCATTTCGCCCGGTGGTTTTCCACACGACCGCTCCGCCATGGCGGGTGGGTATCCGGGAGGAGGCAATGCCCAGGCGGATGGGGAGGGGCGCAGGGTCAGGGTGAGCCAATTCAACACCCACGCGCACGACGCCATGTGTCCAAACTTGGAGTTGGCCCACTCAAGGCTATGGCGAAGTGTCCCTTCCACCGTTTGGAAGCGGTTGAATCATGGGTCTTTAAGGTGACCCCTAAGATGAACGTCCTTCACTTTCAATGGGGGGCCCAACATATATACTATACATATAGTCGAACTGGACTTCGGTCGGACTTCCAGGGACCTTTGCAAAACCTTTCAACACCCGTGTCGAAGTCTCGCCGGCTCTCTCGGATGTTTCCCTTCCAAGTCCTCCGAACTTGGACGCCTCACTCGCCTCACCGAACTTGGACGCCCCGCTCGGTTCTTTTGGCTTCACAGTCGGGTCGCGCGGCACGCGGCCAGGAGGTCGCGGAGCTGCAACGGAAGCGGGCGCAGCTGCGAGAGGAGTTGGCGCAGGTCGAGGCGACCGGAGGATGGGACGGAGACATGAGAGGAGACATGAGACAGGTGCTAACCCCTTTGGTGATCAGGATGAAACTCCCCCATTGGAGGGTTTCTACCCTTTGAAACGAACCGAATGGATCACGGCTACGATTCTTCTCGTCCATCGATTAGTATTGACTATGCCTTTTTAGGAAGCACATGACATGTATATACAATCCGAGTCAATCCGAGTCAGAGTCACTCAATCATGGCAGTGGACTTCACCGCTTGAACAGAATATTCGGATAGAACAGGGTCATCGGAACTCAGGGGCCACTCTCCATCCACGGAACCATGATGATTTTTGGCTTTGGGTTCTGGTGGGTTCACCTCCGTAGACCGGATAGACCCTCAGAGTCCACGCCGTTGGGCGTTGTTCGGTCCAGTTCGGACAGAAGGACTGAACCTCAGAGTCCAAGAAGACCAACGAACACCCGGATCTCGCAGCAGGTCTGGGGGTTTCGAAAAAACCGGACCATGTTCCGATGAGGGTAGACTTTCCCAAGTGAAGGTAGGCGGCTGAAGCATCAAAAACAGTGCCTGGGGCCTGGGGGCTCTTCGCCAGTTAGACTATAGGTGTAGCCTTCAAAGATCTATTAAAACATGGTTGACCTGGTTTTGCAGTGGAAAATACCAGTACAACGATTCTGGATTACTATTGAATCTACGGTGAAGCCTCATCCTGAAAAAGCCGTCGACCCTCCCTTTGGAGCCACCGAAGCCTTTCGCCCATTACTCTCCCGGCGACCAGGCTCTGATCGCCCAAGAAGAGGCGAGGAATCCATCGCACCGAGCAAAATTCGGATGACTCGACCGGAGGAAACTGCAGTCCGGCAGTTCTCAGTCTCCGGCAGAAGCATGAACCATGATGAGTGACCACGTGTGTCCTAGTTAAACCTGTAGCAATTGACAAAAGATGCAACAGATGATCACTTGATCACTGTTTTTGAGAAAGGTTTTGAACTGAACCATCATCATACACTGTTACTGGGAATTAATATGCCCAAGGGGATAAGCATGGAGACGTTTGAATCACTGAGCCTCGCCAGAAGCTCCTCTAACAGTGACAGGCAAAATGTATTGCAGCACCTGTTTGTCAAGCAGCCACCGTTTGTCGACGCTTTTCCTTTCTCGCACCAGAGGAAGTGTTCTTTGCCTGTTAGGGTAGACCATTGACAGAAGAAGAAGTATGCACTGGCACTCTTCCATCAGCCTGTCAGCTTTCCGCTAACTCAGCTAGACCATCACCTTGGGCGCGGGCTCGCCACTCTCGTTCCAACCGACGCGCTTCGACGTGCCGCGTTTCACGCGACGCGACACTGCTTCGCACTCGCGCCGTTTTCCAGGCGGCGCTGTCGGGAGAGAAGAGACTCCACCATCGACCCAGCTACTCATTGCTGAAAGGCGGCGAGGCCTGGACCGCTTTGAGCGCTTGTCGCGCGCCGGCCGCATCAACATCGGCTTCGGCCCGAGGGAACACGCGGGTGGAAAACGCTGGTGGAAGGATCGATCTCCTGCATGACTTGTTCAACTAAGGAGCATGGTTTTGAAGGGTGAAAGGGGGGGACGCTCCACAGCCAGTCTGACAGAGATTGCACACGTTTTACAGACGTTTACTCTGGAAATGCCACCATATGTCTACGATGTTCACTCCGTGTCGAACTCCTCCGTGCCATGTCTTCTCTCGTCCCGGCGAAACAGTCCTTCCGACCAAAAGTGAGTTTTGCCGGAGCGTTCTTTCCGAGGTGCACGGTGTTTTCTTTTTTTTCAATTTTCTGTTTTCAAACATGTAAAGTAAGCCTTCACCAGCTAGCAGTCGAAAGACTCTATTTCCCTTACCAGGGAAGTAAATTGTAAAGGACGTTCTCTCAGGTGCTGAAAAGACAATTCTTTTTGCAGTCTTTGACTCTCAGGGTTCATGCACTGTTTGGATGCTTTCAGGAAAATCTCCGGAAGAACTCCTAGCTGAGGTCTCTTCTTAGGTGCTCGTGTATACAGATCACAGATCACTCCACCCAAACGGTGACATGGCTACTCCAAAAATCGCCGAACTGATGGGATCCTTCATATTGGATGCTATTGGATCTCACCAGTTTGCGGTCTATCTCACCAGCTCGTTCGACTCGCAACGGGACCGTTCGGCCTTCAGGAAGACGAGGCGCCTTCGACGCTGGTGCGACAAGTGAGTCCCCAGGACTTCGAGGAGGTTATCAGGACGGGGAGGGGCCCGCACCCGTGAGGACGTGGAATGTCATGGGTGCGACAAGTGTTTCACACCGCGACCGCTTCGCGGATACTTGCCGCCCACACGGATACTTGTGCTCTCTGAGCCGGGAAGCAGCAAAGCACCTGCAAAAGCAGCAGCAACAACAGCGAAGCAGCAGCAACAGCAAACAGCAGGCAGCAGCAAAGCAGGAGCAAAGCAGAAGCAGCAGCAGCAGCAGCAGCAGACCACCAAGCAGCAGCAACAAACAACCAGCAGCAAAGCAGCTGTTGGTTTGGTGTACAGCCGTGTGGTTGGTGTAAACCGTGGCTGGCGCAAACCGTGGCTTGGCGTAAAGGGCAAGCTGTGGTTTGGTGTAAGCGGTGGTTGGTGCAAACCGTGGTTTGGTTCGAACGGTGGTTGGTGTAAAGCGTGGTTTGGTGTATACGGTGGTTGGTGGGAAGGCCACACGCACAAGCACACACACAATGTCAAAAATGCAATGTCTCTCGGGCAGCATAACTGACATCACCGATGGTAGCATATTTTTTGTTCGTTTTTAAACAGCCTCAAAGAACACAAATGCCCCTCCCAAGCTGAAGCTTAAGGTATGTGCTGTCTAGCAATTCTAGCGGCTTACGCGACCTCAGACGCCTCAGCACCTTCGGTGCGGGGATTTTTTCTCCCAATCAATCGATGTCCAAGAAGCGGCGATTTTGGGCTCGCCACTGAAGTGTTCAGGACATTTCCAAGACTCGGGTCACCTAAAGATCCTCTAAGCAGTCTTGGGCTTCCAGGGTGTGGAGATCCGGGCAAAAGGGTTGTTGAGGGCGATTCAAGGTCTTTTGAGCCCGTCAAAGCAGTCTGTTTGGAGGGTGGTCACTGAGGCGTCAAAAGGGATGGCTTTCTAATGAATTCACCATCCAAGTTACTTGGTCTAAAGCTTCCTTTTGATGCCTTAAAGAAAGGCCTAGAGTGTTGAGCATCACCACGTTCCATGCTTCAAAAGCATCTCAAAACTATTCAAAACTTCTGAAAGTGACCTGGAAGCTTGCTGGAGACTTGTTCATCGGATTTAGATTTCCGTTGACTTCTTCTCACCTCCGACCGGTGCCAAAGCTTCATTGGCTCAGTTTCCCATCCCCTTTTGGTTTGGCGCATTTCTGCGCCCTCTGCGCACTGAAGAGTGAAGCACCACGCCAGCCCCACCGTGCGGTTCGCCCTTCGGCGAACGCAGTAACTTCCCGCCGTTGGACATCCAGCCCATTGGCGCCTTCAACCACTGGGACCGGCGGGAGCCACCTGGCGTCACTGGGAGACCGAACGGTGTAACTTGCACCACCGAAGCATGAGCAGAGTCTCTGAAGGTCAGGAGAGGTCAAGTGACCATGGAGGGTGAGTGGAGCTCCGGGCTCCGGGCTCTTGACCCAGAGATGAGGAGAGAGAGACGATCTTCTCTTTTGGTACAGTATAGGCAGAATAGGCAGTATAGGCGTCTTTTTCTTTTGAAGAGGTGGAAGGGCACAGTCGACTGCCTGAAGGCCTTTGACAGAGGTCTTTACCTGTGGTCAAGCGCAACATGCCTTGCTGAGGTGTGCCGTCCAGAATAAGGATGCTTGGAAAGAAGTCTGCGCCAAGTACCAGAAGGACCTTCCCATGCCAGTTTTTTCCACGGATGAACAAAAGTGGCCACGATATCTCCATGCAGTTTTCGGCCAAGTTGACCTGACGGGTACATGAAAACCTGCCATGTTGAACACGGTTTTCTGGAAAAGCGACCGCTGAGAACTGAGAACGAAGAAGTCCCACACACCTCCTGGACTGAAGTGACCAAAGAGGGAAGCTGAATCCCTAAACAAAAATGGTTCTGAAAGGTTCATCAGGCGTCCATTGGCAACCCGTCATTCTGAACACTCCTTCTCTTCCTTTTTCTTCTCCACCCCCTCCCCGGACCCGCCCTTGGCGCGGCCTGTTCTGCACCTGGGCGATCCGGCCGTCAGGAGACCTTGAAGGGCCAGGCGCAAATCCCCAAGGTGATCCATCAGATTTGGATCGGCCCCAAGGCACCTTCCGGTCTTTTTCGCTTTCGCGCTCCGGTGCGACGCACCGGGGGCGCGCGCGCGCGCTCCGAACGGCGGGGGCGGGCCGACGGCACCAGGGGGAGCGAAGGGTCGGAGGGTGGGAACGGATGGACGTGCGGAGGTTGTTTTTGAGGGAGGAGAGGATGGACATGTGTATTACAGCCCTATAGGGATCCAGTCGTACCGAACCTCAGAAGCTACGACTGGACCCGACAATGGCGCCTACTAGCCACAGTGTCTCCGTCCTCAGTAAGTGCCTGAGAAGGTCATTGCTTGGATCCCTAGGGCTGTGAGGCGGGACGCGGAGAAAGAGGCGGTTTTGGCAATCCATCAACTCTGAGTGATTTCATTGAGGCAGTGCTGGACGGGTGTGGTGGGTCAACAAACCAAGTTGCAGTGGTTTGATTTGGAGTGGTTTTCACCGAGCTTTGGAGTGAAATCGAATCTGGGAAGACATGGGTCTCTTTCAGAAGCTAAGCCTTCCAGCCGACCTGAAAGCAGGTCCGTGTTTTTCTGAAGCTAAGTGGATGGAGAAGTGCCCCATTGGCCCCACAGGGCTCCCGAAGCCGAACCAAACAACCCTCCGCGCGTCGAAGCTCTTCGCGTCCTCGCGGCTCGGATCGAGTAAGATCCGATTCTGCAGGAACCTCCGTGCTTGTGGATCGACACCTTCCGTGTGGAGTACCTGGCGGCTAACCCGGGATGGGGATTTCACCTCTGGAGCGACGAAGAGGTCGCACAGCTGCCCATGATCAACCAGGAGATCTACACCAAGGCGCGGAAAACGGACGCGCACGGACACGCGCGGAAGGGTGGGCGAAGGGAGGAGGCAGACCAGGCAGACAGCGTTTTTCTTTTGGAACGGCGGATGTTGGGAAGCCTGATGATCATTAGTGCATTTGGGGTGCATCTTTGGGTCGATGTAGGGTTGGTCATTCTTGGATGCTGAGGATCGAGACTTCTGATGTGTTTTGAACACAGACATCCTGCAGTAACTGTAAACTCTTGATCAATGACATCCCCAATATGAAGAGGTCGTAGGTTCCAATATGAACATCGAGGTTTAATCAATCAAGAGTCGCCTATATCTTGTATTTGGAGTCTTCTTGAATCTTGAGATTTCTTGAGCCTTTTTGCGTTGTTGTTCGAGGGGCCGTGATGACTTGGTACACTCTGACTCACTAACTATGGAAGTGGACCGCCACCTCTTCGAAAAAGGAACATGGTCTTCCAAGGGACTATACCATCCACTTCCATGTGATGTCTTCGTCAGAGTGTACTACTCTATAGGAGATACTCGAGGCTTTCTTCCAGTGCTAATCCTAGAGGTGCTTTCTTCCAGTCTCCGAAAAACGCTGGAACATCTATGCCACCCCATTGACACCATTCATGGGAGCGGTCTGGGTAGTGAGTCAAGGTGCGTCCCGGGGCCGTCCAAACCCCCACTCGGCCCCGCGCCGGCCGGCGGGCGGGCTGCGGGGTCGGGTTTGACGGGTCGTGTTCCGTGGATTGGGCGTCAGGAGAAGATGTGGCAATGCAAGGCGGACATCTTGCGGCTGGAATTCCTCTGGCATCACGGAGGTCTCTACGTGGACGCAGACATGATCTCCGTGGAACAGCTCCGCGAGCCAAGGGCTGGGTGTGAGAGGGGATGGGGCTCGGGCGGCTGGGCGGCTGGGCGGCTGTTGGGTGGCCGTGAGCCAAGAAATCGTGCCCTGACGGTGTTTGCACGCAGAGAGAGAGAGAGAGAGAGGTCTGGCTGCACGTTTCCCATGTTGAGTCATTGCAAATGGGAGCCCAAGGGGAGCACCTCTTTTCATCCCACCGGCCATCCTTTTTCATGCCTTTTCGTCCATCTCTCAAGCAGTTGAGAGAACCTTCTGTAAGCACCTTCTGTAAGCCCTTCTGTCTGCCCGGCATCCTCGAGGAAGTCGCTGGACAAGATCCTGGAGCTCGGCAAAGAGACCGGCTGGGTGATCGCCTACGAGCCCGACACCAAGGTGTGTCCGAGTGGAATGGACAGAGATTGGATGGAGCTGGGATGGAGTTGCAGCCATGGCGGGCACGCCAGGTGCGTACCTACCTGGTTGCGGACCTTGTCTTTCTTGGAGCATAATGACCTGAATATACCTGGGTCCATCCCGAGGTCATGAGAGCACACAGCATAAGAAAGGGAAGTTCTCTTCGCAACAACCGTTTTTTATATTTTTAATGCATTCTTTTTGCGGCCCTTTTTTGGTGGACGTTGCAAGATCGAGGACTGTCAAAGAACACAGGCCCGACTCTAGCTCCTGTGTCCCCAGGCACTTCTGGGAGACTGCCACGCAAATCGCCGTGATCTTGAATCTTTCAAGAGTTCAATCGGTTCTTAAAAGACTTCCCCCTTCCAACCCTCCAAAAAAGGACGAAAAACGGTGTTTTTCTGTTCCCCTTTGCGGTGTCAAGACCGATCTACCACCGAACGCCCCTCCGAGTGGGTCGCTCCAAACCGCCGAACCGAAGTGGAACCGGTGGAGCTCGGGACCTTGGGGGGCATCTGTTTCAAGCAGTTTTTCGGTCTACCTGGTATATCTGGTAGAAAGACCATGAAAGACCCCAAGGATTGATTCCCCACGGTTGGACATGATGGGTTCATAAGAGTTGCTCAGATGGCGCCCAGTGGCGAGCGCAGGACAAGCCATACTCCATCCTGGGGAACTCCGTGCGCCTCCGCCGGAAGATGGTGTGGGTGTCCGCTTTGTTTTCGGATGCTTCCCGGGTTGAACATGGTGTGGCCATTCATGTTTTGGGGTGTCAAGTTGGACCTCTTTCTTGGCCATGCTCTGTCACTGTGACAGCAGAGGTTCCCGAGCTAGATAAATCAAGCCAAACTATACTGTATATAAGCATGGATGTTGTTTATTTTTGGTCGTCAACCCGAGCCACCAGTCTTTGACTGCCATGTCGCAGAGGATCAGGTCGAATCAGACCAGTGGTTGGACGAACGGAGGATTCCGCCATGTTCCGGAACGGATTCCGCGCGTGGTTGGAACGCGTCAACGGCGCGTAAACGGTCAACGGCTGAGGATTGCGTGCACCCCGCATCATCCACTGACCTTGATGCTGATCCTCTACTTGAAGCAGACCTTCGACCACAAGCGGCACCACATTGACGTCACTGGACCGACACCCACATCACACCTAGCTGACCTAGCTAGGTCATAGCAATAGGTCCAGGTTTTGTGGGTGGCTGACGTGTGGTCGCAGCTTCTCCAAGTGCGGGTTTGGGGCTGAGTTGCAAGTCTTATAGTGATGATACTCCGGATTTGAAAGGTAAACATTGGTAAGAGCTTTATACTTTCTACCTGGCGGGGGAGAATGAACATTCGCTTGTTGTATGCTTAATTCAAGCTTCTTTGACTCTTGAAGCTCCAGAAAAAGAAGCGGTTCCCCAAAGAGGCATTTCAATAGAGACTCCGCGGCTCACAGTCTAATCTTTGCAGGTCCAGGCCTCCATTCCCTTGGCTGTTTGCTTGCTCTTTGAGGATGCAGGGAGTTTAGCTCCTCAGAACAGTAAACGCACCGATAGCAAAAACATAATGCATATGAAAGCTCACTAGTGAACACCTCTGCACTTTGAAGTCACATGTGTACCTTGGTTCTGGGTCATTTCTTCTTCCCCTACCTCAAAAAGAACACAAGAATTGGTATATAGTCACACCCTTGGAGTCTGTCCACCCCCCCAAAAAGACTTTCGGCACGCCCTGATCAAACCAAACGCTCACGCCCACGACGGGCGCACCCTCCGAGGTCTTCGCGGTGACGGGGCCGGTGATGTACACGAAGTGTCTGGTGGACAGTGGAATGCCCATCAGCCTCGCTCCACAGGAGTGGCTCTACCCAGTGAGGACCCTCAGATGGTGCGACAGTGCGAAAGCGACATGGAGGGCGCCGGCGTGGTCTCCGGTCCTTTGATGTGTTTTTCTCGGTGGGGTGTGGGGTTTGATGGGGAAACTGGAGGGAGCTTGGAAGGCACTGATTTGGCGCAAGGCAAAACGCAACTACGAGATCTTTCTCATTCTTTCTCCCTTTTTGTATTTGGGGATGTTTTGGGCAGAGTGTCAGTCTGATGTCACAAAAGTCGGGTACATCACAGGTCAGAAAAGAGATGCACAGAGTGTCAGCTGCGCTTGAGCAGTGTCTTTCCGCCGCTGCTGTTCCCCCTGTCCCCTGCGCCTGTGCCTGTCCGTTCGTCCCCTCCCGCCTCACCCGCACCTACTTGCACGCCGGTTGGAGCGAAGGCCTTCCACTACGTGCCCAACCCGGACGCCATCAACTTCGCCGCCTTCCCCAAGTGCTTGATGTGCCTCTTCTCAGACCGGGGCCCTTTCCGATGCTCGGGTCACGCCGTCGGCGAGCGAGCGGAGCGTTCACCGTCCACAGTCCAGGGTGGTCGTTCCGGGCCGAGCGAGATAGCTACGGGTGCCACCTACATACAAAGTGGAGAAAGGGAAGGTCTTCGGTTTTGGAGCTACCTCCACTCAGTTCTTTTGTAACAGGGACATCCTTTCAAAACACTTAAGTTAATGGGTGAAGCGAACGTCGATGAATCCAACGAGTCCTTGTCTCCGTGTTTCGCGTTTTGCGCACGTTGCACCGCTTTGTTCCGCCGCCGAACGCGTCGACGAGAGGTTCCAATTCGGCTACACTTGCTCTGGGCTGGAAGGTGCGCACACCAAGCAAAGAGCTCGGATCTCGTTGATGGTCCGCTCTTTCTTTTTTCCGGTGGCCTGGTGGAGCTGCGTGGTGTTTTTTTTTGCTGTGCAGTGTTTCTGCTTGGCAAAATTGAAAATCAATGATTCAAAGGTATCCAGTATCCAATTCAACGATTTGGTACATTGAAGCCACACACACACACATGGACAAATTGGCACATTTAAGCTGACTAAACTATATTCTTTTAATGCTTATTGTACATTTGCATTCAATAATACAGAACACCATACAGGAACAGATAACGGATAGATTCTTGTTTTTTTGTTGGAATATCATCTCTTTTGTAATTCCTTCACTCTATACACAGATTGCGCAAAACACGTCGCATCGTATGTGGAGGCTACGTGAAGTCCAAGAATCGTTGCAAGAAGGTCGGCCGGAGCGTTGGCCAAGCGAGAGCGTCGGCATCAGTAGCTGATCCCCTTTGCTTCAGCCAGTCGAGATCCAGACACCGAACGGTGGGAAGTGGCAAACAAATGCAAAGAGGTCAGTGAGCCAATGAGCCTTGGGTGGTTGGTCCTTTTGATATAACATGGAATCAGTGCTTGGTATCCAGTTTGGTCGGCGTTGCACATCAGAAACCATGGGAGCAGTGAAACCTCTGGTGGATTTCCACCACACCCACGGTTTCTATTTTGGAAGTCGACCATGCCAAGTCCACCCGTCACTGTGAAGCCCTTGACCCCCCCGTGGCCCGGCGGCTACTCCGACTGCCCCGGCGGGGGATCCGCGCAGGCGCGACAGTGTCCCTTCCACTCCAAGAAGGCGAATCGTCCGGGGGGATCGACGTCCTTCAACCTCGACGCGCGGGTTCGCGGACGCGGACGCGGACGCGGCTGGTGGCTTAGAGGCGTTTGGGGGCCGTTTGAGGGTGTGCACAAGGTGGATCGGTGGTGTTGATTTCCGGTTTTGGCGTCCGGGTTTGGGGATGGGCCGAGATGTGTCGGGTTTCGTTCTTGAAAAGCTGTAGAGAGCTCCACATGCATGATGGAACACAGGGTAGGCTTGTGAGCCTAGAAGGTCAGGGTAGGCTTGTAGCAGCACGTCTCTTGTGTGTTTCTTTGACCCCCTCCGCTTTATGGCCTTGGTTGGTTGATGCCGGTTGATTGATAGAGGGTATATCTGGATACCTCGTAACAATCGATCCTTCTTTCTTCAGGAGATCGAGCTGCTGCATGTATGGTATATGGCATATTTACCAGCTATAGGCTATAGGGGTCAACAAAAAGAGGAAGTCTTTGAGACTTCTTTCGGAGCTGGGCAGAATCATATTTATACATATCCTATAGAAGTCCAGTGACCGGCGATATTTTGACGGACTGAAGTGTTTGGAAACTCCTAGACTCCGGGTCACCGTTCATCAGACCATTCTTTTCAATTCTTTGAAGAGGACTCCCAGGACAGTCCAACAATCGATCTGGTGAGTGAGAAAGGGAAGGTAGAATCAGTTTTGGATCTACCTGCACTCAGATCTTTTGTTGAGATGCTTTCAAAACAGAATCCACGCTACCTCCACTCAGAAAAACAGAATCCACGCTACCTCCACTCAGATCTTTAACTTGTCAGGACATCCTTGCTTGGTGGATGTGGTAGGACATCCCTTGGCATTTGGTCGGCTCCATCGCAGGTCTGGCCCCTGGGCGCCTTCCGCCCGCTGCCCACGGTAGAGGACTTGGAAGCGAAGCTGCTCGGCGGAGGACTTGAGTCGAGTGTGGCGAGGCTTAGGTGATCTGCTTAGAAGAGCTGGGACCCATGGATCGCGTCTGTTCCGAAGCTTTAGACAGAAACATCATCATGATCTCAAGCTGCTTAGGCAATCTCTTTGCAGATGTTCACATTCATTGACGCTTTTCCGAACTTCGTTCCTTTTCGCCACGGGCTTTGGGCCGGCGCCCCTCGTCGCTCAGGTTCACGAGCCCGCCCGACGTGCCGAAGGTGATTCACCAGGCCCCGAGCCGTTTTGGACTGGACGGGTTCCAGCAGGACGACCAAGCAGAAGCCGGACTGAACGGGTCTTTTGAACGATCCTGAATCTGTAACCGCTTGGGAAACGATCGGCCCTTGGCGTGTCATTGCCGTAAAAGATCTTAAACGTAATTACATAAACTACTTTAATTGTATCATAAAAGTACCAAAGACCTGCTTGATCTCAAAAAGGGATCTCAAAAAGGGACTCTGTGTGCGGTCCCCGTTCGTGGTCCCCATGCTTCCCCAGGTCTGAGTGACGGTCTGATTTCTGAAACAATCGCCATCAATCATAGTTCAATGAACTGTTAGAACAAGAACGAGAAACACTGGGAGGAGATGGGAGGAGAATATATAAGAGGAAGCAGAAGAAGAAAAAAAGTAATAAGAAGAAGAACCAGAAGAACTAGAAGAACCAGAAGAACCAGAACAAGCACGCACACCCACAGTCACAACCCGAAGCAGAACCACCTTCGAATGAACACATTCGACCTGCCCATCCGTTCCAGGTGGTCCTGGGTGGTGTGGATTCGGATTTCGACCCTCGGCGCTGGCGACAGAGCTGGTGGGACGACTTCTGCAAGAGCCATCCGGGCTTTGAGTACAGGACCCGCCCATCAGGGCATCGTTTGCTTCAAACAAAGAAGCTGAGTGAAGCATTAGAACAAAGAAGAAGACCAGCGTCTCGTGGTTTGCAAAACGAATTGGATTCCATGGTGGGGGAGTAGACATTTCAAGCCTCCAGACTTTCAGACCATTGTCAGAAGTTGTCCAAAGGGTGGTGCAGTGAGGAGAGACCAGCGTCTTGGTGGTTTGTGACCTTATTGGAGTCCTTGTTTGCGGGCCTTGAAACGTGACCAAACCAACCGGATCAAGGACGGTCATGAGATGAAGAACTATACCATCACCATCCAAGAGGCGTCTATAAATAGCCTCTGTCTGAGGTGATTCGGGGTGTCGAAAAACCACCGGTCTTGGAAGTGTAGCAAAGTCGTCAAGAAGGATTCCTGCTTGGTGAAGACAGCGCCGAAGCGTGACTGGAAGGATTTGGACAGATCAGTCGGTAAGTGTCGACAGATCAGCTGCGGAAGCTGGTTGCCGTTCGTTCTCTTGTTTGAAGGAACTCAGGCTAGTCAACATGCCTCCCCTGCTTTGCCTTCGAACGACCTGCAGTGAACCTTGGCAAGAATCATCGCAGTAATCAGTACCCACGCGCCAATGTACGGGATATAGAGTATTTAATATGTATTAAGAATATATACCACCCGAAGTGATCCCTTTAATCTGCCCCTCCCATGGAGTGTTTGTGCTACGAAGTGCGCTTTTTATAGGGGATGCAGACATCGAACGTTGCACGTGCGGGCTTCTCCAGGACCTGGTCGAAGGAGCAGCTCCTGGGCCGCAAGTGGTTCTGTGCCAACTTGTACGTGGAGCCCTTTGATGATCACGCCATCACCTCCTTGATGATGGAGATCCTCTTCGAGGCGCCGATCAGACTGAGCTTCAGAGCGCCGTTCGAAGCGCCGTTCACGGCAGATGAAAATGGGTCTTTTTCAGATCTGAAGCTGTGGAACAACCAAGGAACCCACTCGACGTCGACTCTTCCAATCAACCTTCCACCTTCCGAGGTGACTGTCGGGATGGGATTCTAGGTGGAGCTCTCACAATGTGCCAGGGAGGTTGAAATATCATCAGTTCCTGGAACCCCCGCGTCCCAAGGAGAAACAATTCTGGTTGTTCCAAGTCGCTATAGCGCGATGGCACCAGATCCGATCCTTTACAAAACAAACTGCTTGGGACTCTGGAGTCTGATCCACTTGTTTCGGTTCATGTTTTTTTGTTTTTTCCCCAAACAGTTTTATCTTAGAAAAAAAAGAGCTGGCCACACTCACTGGCCGCGCCCCTGAACTCTGTGGCTGGGCTCTGTGGCCCGGCTCTGTGTCCGGGTCTTGTCCCTCCTCTTGTCCTTGTCTTGGCCGCGCCCCTGAACTCTGTGGCTGGTCTCTGTGGCCCGGCTTACTGGAGAGGAGTGTGGCCGAACAAATAGCGATGTCAATGCCGACAAAAATTCATTGATGAAGCAGTTTGCTCTTGGGGTGAAGGTAGGGCGTACCAAGAAATCGATTTTTGACTATAATTGGTCTAAACGAATCGGTTCGAAGCTATTTGGGGTCTGTGCTTGTATTTTTATCGTAACCTGTTGCAGTTCCCCAAATCTGCTCACTTCGTTCATCTTCGGAGCCCGTGAGGCCCGACCCCACGATCCACGCTATCCTCGCGCGATCCATGCGGATACGGGGCGTTTCAAGTGGTCGGATGACTCGCCAGGAGGGTGGCTTCTATGTCCCTCTCTCTACCCTGCACCAGCCGGGCTATGGAGAGGAACATTCCAGTTTGTCAGTGGGTTTGGAGGAAGAAGTTGGAATGACAGATGAAGGAGGCAGACTTCACTTCTTTGGTGGATGTCAAGAACTACATAGAATGGTCAATCAAATTTATTCAATTTTGATCTTTTTCCTAATCCATGAGGAATCGGAAGTATCTTGAAGTCACCAACATTTGTTTTTTGTTTTTCACGTGGTCATCTTGTGGAGAGTGCATCATTGCACCTTGCTTGGCCGACCCTGACGATATTCACTAGCCTTGGTCACTATCTATCTCCAGAAACACATCCTGCACCGGATGAGCTCATTGGATATAATATGTTTCGTTTCTGACGTTCCAACCAAGTGACGTGGCAGCACTGTCACTTCAGTTTCCCCATTTCTTGTATGTTCACGTCTGTTGCGCAACTATTTCACCTCACCGACCCCGTGGTGCGAACCCGCTTCCCCTTCCGCGTGTGCTCCGCGAGGACGCCTTCTTCACCGAAGGCTTCGAGGGTAGCTTCGTGGAGGGCAACGGAGGAGTCCTCGGTGCAGCCAAAGGCGGCCATCCCTCGCGTCACGGGGCACGTCCCGCGTCTCGGGGCGGCGTTGATCTCCCGGGTGCGGGGGAAAGAACATGACCATCACGTCGTGCCGGGGAAAGATCGTACGCAGCGGTGGTCTTCAGGTGCGCAGAATTATTTCGAGTGGACACGTTTTTTTCATTTCGTGCTCACCACCTCAGCACCGGACATGCGGCCCGCGGCGCCGAAAAGAGCCGTTTCTTATGGCACCTCCTACCTGTGCCATCCTTGCCGTGCCGTCAGAGCCGCGTCTCCGGGCCACGAGCCACCGCGGTTCTCGCTCGCAGCGGAAGCTGCACGGCGAGCGGGCGAGGCTCTCCGGAGCTCTTCCAGAAGCTCATGGAGCTCTACGACAAGGGCACCGTGGGCCCTATGGAGCCCCCGGGACCCGAGGGCCCTCGCGTCCTTCAAATGGGCTTCCGAGATGGCACCTGAGATCGGCAAAAGACGAGACGAGACGAGACGAGACCGTCTAGGGGTGCGTGCTGGGCAGCAGGGTGCGCCCAGTGGGCTTCCGTGGATGGGTGGGTGGGCTTGGGGGAGGTGGGCTTAGGAAGGGTGAGAGGCTCAGCCATTCAAGAGGATTCAAGAGGGTGTAACTCTGATTTCATTGGATCAAGATGTCAAACTGACAGGTTGCTGGTCCTTTTGACCGCTTGATGAGAATCGTTGGACAGATCGAATGTTCGAAGCTCCTCGGGTGTCGTACTGAAAGATCCAGTCCCAGTGGTTGAAAGCCGTGCCATGCCTCCCTCTGTGCCTCCCTCTCGCCGTTCGCGCTCCCTCTGTGCCTCGCTCTTGCCGACCGGTCTGTTCCGCGTGCAGCGCCCAGGCATGGTGCTGAAGGGTCGATTTCCCAATCGCAGCCGTTACCTGGGTGCACAGCAGGCGGCGGGACCTCGTTTTTGGATCCTTTTTTTTAACGGCGAGTTTGGTCGATGAATCGAGGAACCATTAAGACTCAAGACTTATATATGTTGAGGAAGTTAAGCTTCCACTGCATGCGTAAGATCAAAAAAGAATTAAGAAACGACATATGTCTATTTCCAATGATATGCAAAGCTTCATTCAGCTCAACATAACATTAAACAAAGCAACATGAAAGAAGGAGGGTTTTGGATTAGCACCGGCAACACATGAGCCCCTTTTGTTTAATGTGCTCCGTGCCGATGCAGCATCATGTGCATTTGGAACGTTGTTTGTGGTCTTGCGTTGAAGGTTCCAAGAATCGCACTTTGTTGTTTCTTTTCTTTATGAGGTAAGTGGGTGGTTCTAGTGTAGTTTTTTTTCGGGACAGTTCCACCCACTAGAACCATCTCATCTAGAACTACTTGCTGGTCAGGAGGTGGTGTTTAGACATTCTATTAGTGGGTGGTGCTTAGTTCACAAACTTTGGACAGCTCCTTCACTGAAAGCCCAGCTCCATCCGACCATCTGGGTGTCCTGGGTAGTCCCCAGCCCACTATCTTGTCAGAGATGTCCAGGTCCGCCCCCTCATGGTCGGTCCAGGTAGAGAGGATGCTCCGTGTGTCGGGAAACCGTCGCATTGCTCTTCAACGACCGACCGCCGTTTCTTCAACGACCGGTCGTTGAGAGGTGGTGGCTTTTACGCCTGGCGATCAACGGCTGGAACATGCCAGCTTGAGCTTCTCCTACGAGTGCCAGGTGCGGCCTAGTGGTGCCATGTTGGTGTTTTAAAAAGGATCCGAGGAACAGCGGCCCAGCAATGTTGTTCCATCGTCGGAATCCCGCTGAGGTCTACTTGTTTTACGAAGGATTTGACGACCAAACCGGACTCAACCAGTTTTAGAAGGGTCGTTTCCGGAGCTTCCGAGGGGATTAGGATGGTAGACATCCAGCGAGGACCATAGGGGTGGAGTGAAGTAGACTAAAGATGACTAAAGAGATACGTCCACCATCAGTGGGCTTTTGCAATAGAGGAAGGGTCGCGTTCAAATCCATCGTTAAATTGTTTGGTGTCTGAGTGAGGGTGCCATGGAGTTTGAGGGACTCGGGTTGAACCTAAGAGCGTGGACCAGAAAGAAAGGTATCAGCCTTAAAAGACACTCGGTGCCCAGGCAGAGAATGGCCATTTCATGCAAATAGATGCAAATAGATTGCGAGTTGAACAAGATGCGGCTGGTTTCGTCATGGCACCTCCCCGACGAAACCCATGGGAGCTCGATTGACATCTTTTATAAAGCTATTGGTTCATTTGACCAGGAATCAACCAGGGTGCGCCATGACCGCCAAGCGAAAACACGAGTCATGAGCGGAAGTCCGCAAGTAGACCGTCAGGCCAAGTAGAAGTCCGTTTGGATCCATTGTCAATTGGTTCGGTCAAAGGGTGAGAAAGTGAGAACTAAAGAGTGGTGCACCAGGAGTCACAAGGAGTTGGGTGGTGTGCCTCGTCCCATCCAGTGAGTGGATGTGACAGGGGCACCCTTCACCTCCATTGAGCACGCACCCCATCTTGTGACTGCTGGCAGATCGATATTTTTGGTCAACTTAGGATTGTCCCATATCAACGCGTGTTTTCGCTGTTTCGAGCATTTTCGAGCTTCTCTCTACTTCTCAGTCCAGCGGCTGATCCCGAGAACCAGTGGATGTTCGGTCTTGGTCTCGGTCGCCGGCACCGGCGATCCGATACGAAGCAGCGATCATGAGCAAAACAGCAACACGTATAGAAGCGGTGGGTTGACCATGGCAATCTACTCAGTTCATGTTTGGTCAACCACCATCTCCCCCTGTGCATCATCCTGATTTTCCATGTTGCCCTTTCCACCCAAATCATGGTGATGTCATCCGGTGAAGCATCGCGCTTCGGAATGCCGATGGACGTCGGCAGAGAACGCGTGCGGAGGACTGGAGGAGGTCACAGTAGGTGAGTCGAGTCAGTTTGTTGCTCCAGGTGCCCTGCTTCTCATGCAAGGGCATTGAGGCGATGCAGGCGGCAGTCAGTGAGATGGGTGCCGTGGGTCGCAGTCCAGTGGTCTCGGTTGGGGTGGTCTCGGTGTGCGGGCCTAGGGTGTGGCACTCTTTGTCCTGCCGAAGTCCCTTCGAGATCATGAGGTGAAGCATGGTATCATGATATCCAGAAGGCAGGCAGTAGTCTACTTACAAATACTTAATTAAACACTCCAAAGATATGAGAAGAAGTCCTACGAACTGAGCGATCGCTCCATTTCCATTCAGTTTCGAAGATTTCTAAGCTGCTGGGGTGGAACTTTCGAACCTCTTCCTCTTGAGACTTGGTTCTGTCCATTTCCAACCAAAGAAGCAAACTTTTCCATGATTTCCAAAGCCGTTTTCAATGTCTCTTTTTTCAGAGTTGCTTTGAAGCACCAACTCCGGTGGCTCCACCGGAGGGCGTTCCAGCCAGCACTGGAACAACGGAGCGTTGTCTGGCACCACTGGAGCGGACAACTGGACACTGCACACTGGGCCCCCTGGTGAATGGACATCCCATATATCACCTCTAAGTCTAAGGGGCTATGATTGGACACCCCCATCCGCCAAACAGGGGGCCCTGGTATGTACTGTGTATACTGTATACTATTGTGAATTTCAGCTGTTGTAGCCAGGGTGTATTGCGTACAGTTGATGCACCGTCGCTGCTGTTTCGGCTGAACAGGGCCCTTGAGCTGATTCGCTGCTGCGAAAAGGAACTGTGCGAGATTCAAACTGGTAGCGGAGCAGGTTCTGAAGGGGCACCCTCAGGATCTGACTCACCCGGGGAGACTCGCTGGATCCGAACCCGTTGAACCCAATTGCGTGACCCTGCGCGCAATCCGTCGAACCGTTGTAATTCCAGTGCTTTGCGAAACTTGTTGAGTTGCGATGTCGCTGGCTGGCCTGCGGTACACATCCCATGGAGGAAGTATCTCAGGACCACAGGAGACGAAGAGCGGATCATACATCTACAGTGGCAATCCAAATGGTTTCTTCGAATGGGAATTTCGCACCAAGGTCCGCGTTGCTTTGCACAAGCAGAAACATGCGAAGAAGAAGTCAGAGAAGACCTATTCGAGTCCTGGAAGCCAATCAGCCACACCAGAACGTTCTCAGAGGAGGCCGACTCATGCGACCGAAGCTGGGGATGTATCAGAGGATGACGAGGCACGATTTGAAGCTTTTGGAACCCCGAAGTCCGAGAGCGTGGCAGGAGAAGAAGAACCAGCTCTGAGCACTGCCGGACTGGATGATGATGGAGCAGAGTATGCAACACTTGTCCACAAGGTGTTGGAAGGTCTGAGAGGTGATGCATACCTCACAGCTCAAGACATGGGATTGGAGAAGTTGTTGACTCCAACTGGCATTGATGAGTTGATATCGCGTATCCGTGCACAAGTTTTTCCACTTCGACAACAAGAAGCACGAGAGTTGTTCAGAGTGGGTCAACTCCCACATGGTCCCTTGTCTCGCCAAACGACAGAAAGCATGACTAGCTACATTTCACGAAGACGTCGTTGGTGGAGGAAGCTTTTGGAGATGGATGATGGGGTAAGTCTTTCAGACCCCATGCGTGGTGAGCTACTTCTGGAAGGTTCTGGCTTGAGCAAGACAGAACAGCTCATGATCAAGACAGCTGCAGGCGACAACCAATCCTTTGACGTCTACGCCAAGTTCTTGCTTGAATTCCATGGACAAATTCACTTGCGCAGCTGGTCCGCTTTTGGTAACACGAGCCCTCGGAGGCAGAAAGGCGGAGGCAAGTTTTCAGGCAAGTCTTCCTACAAAGGAGGAAAAGGGCGCAGTTGGCAAAGATCTGCGTACATTGTTGAAGATGACTCTTGGGACTATGAAGATTCCTATGAAGCAGAAGCAGAGGACGACTATGAGCATGAAGCTTATGTCGCAGCAGAAGATGAAGAACCAGATGATGAAGAACATGAAGACTATATCGAAGACCCTGAAGTTGCCACAGCGTTGATGGCAATGGGAGAATGTGATGATGAAGAGAACGATGCCTCAGAGGAACTGGGCAGCGCAGCCCAGCATCAAATGATGGCCTTTGTCGTGACTGACCAGTTGAAGGGCAAAAGCAAAGGCAAAGGTAAAGGTTCAGGAAAGAAAGGTGGAAAGAGCAAGGGGAAAGGCAAGTATGTGTTCAAGACACAGTTGAGCGTGCAGGACAGGATTGCACGTCTAGCAAAGTTGAAGTCAGTGTCCAAATGCTTGCGTTGTGGAGGAAAAGGACATTGGGCAGGAGACCCAGCTTGCAAGTTCCCCAAGCAGAACGACAAGTCCCCTGGAGGAACGTCGTCGACGAGTAAAGCCACAGCCTATTTTGCATTGAGTGATGATGAGTCTTCTGTTGAAGGTGAGTACATGTGTGTTGATGTCAGTGGTCAAACTGTCGAAAATGGTACGTGCTACATGGCATACAAGATGTCCCCAAAGAAGAAGCTTGAGTTCGAACCGTCAGACCGTGCATCCATGTCGTCAGGAGTGACCAGCAGTCCACCGTCTAGCTTTTCGATGGTCGAGCCAAATGTCCGTCGGTCACCGCAGAAGTCCCCGCCGGTCACGCGTAGGAAGAAGGACATGGAACAAGACTTGTTGCCTGAAGGTTCGCAGAATGTCTTCGTGTTTGGTCAGCACCAAGGTTTGACATACCATGAAGTGTTGTTCAAATATCCTGGATACTATCAATGGGGATCAGGCATTTCGCACCCTTCGCGTTGTTTGGCAGATTTTCTGACCTGGGTGACCACGTACTATGAAGTCAGTCAGGACGGAGACGTAAGCCTGAGAGAGCATCCATTGACAGATGTGCCAGTAGAGGCAATTCGACGTACTGGAGACAAGAGTGCCAAGGGAAAACCACCAAACCCCCCGCTAGAGGAATCATGTCGTCGTTGCACCAGATTCACATTTCAAGGTTCAAATGCCTATGTTGAGAACAAGACATGCCTTGACTGCGGAAGGAATGAAAGAAAGAAGAAAGAAAGCAAACCTTCGGCCGACCCCGCAAAGTGCAAGCATGAGGTCACAGATCGTCGAGGCAGTTCGAAAACCACGTCTCGTTGGTACTGCAAGTTGTGTGGAACCACTGTTGACGAGATGCCCCGAGAAGAGGCGCGTAAGAGAGAGGCAATGGCAAAGAGTATGGTAGGCATGCGCACCAATGCATTCGACACGACAGCATCCATGATTGAGAATGAAATCAACGATGCATGTATGTCAGCTGAAGGAACTCTAGAGGTTTTGGAGATGTTTCGACAAGAGGTTGAGTGTGAGTTAGAATTTGGCGAACCTGTGAGGGTTGGCGTCCTGTTCGAGATCCTTGCCAATGCCGTGGAGGTCATCAGAGAGGCCGCACCGGAAACTTGCTACATGGGACTGTTGTCGGATCTCAATGAAGCCACAATTGAAAACACACTTCGTCTTGTTGACATCATGGAAGACCCTGGAGTCTGGGCTGTGTTGGATGAAGGATGTAATGCAACTGTGTGTGGACAAGCATGGATCCAAAACGCCAAAGACAAGTATGCACGTCTTGGGTATGATGTAGCTGATTTGCAGTGTGACTCAAAAGCTTTCCGAGGACTCGCCGGAGACACCAAAACTTTGGGCAAGTGTCGAATTCCATTTGCTTTGACCTTTTTGGACCCCGAGACGAAACTTCCGGGAGTCATGGAGACACATGTTGTTGATGGGAAGATTCCATTGCTTTTGTCACAGCATGCTCAAGCTGCATTGCATTTCACGAAATCTATGGGTGATGCCAAGTGCTATGTAGGAAATGCAGAACTTGAACTGTGCAGAGCTAGGAACTCAGGACTTCTATGTGTGAACCTCTCAGAAGGTCTCAAGAGCCTAAAGTCCAAGAGACTCCCAAAGCAACTTCGAGAACTAAAGAACACGGATTATGGCATGAGCTTCAACATTCGTCCATCAGATCAGTTGACTGCATTCATGGCTGACGAAGAGCGCCCGACTAGAGGCACTTTCACGCTGGATGACCCTGCTTGTGTGCATGTCCTGACATGTGGAAAGGAGTTCAATGGCCAGATTGCAAGCTTTGATCGCAGCAAGAGCTTGATTACATTGGGACCCATCTTGGCACAATTGACCCCGGGAGGCGATTGTTGATCTTTGACTGCATGGGATTTGGAGATCCTCAACACGACCCGCAGTTGCGATCTCACGTCGGTACACATCCGGAAATCATTCGAGGGATGACTGGCAGCGAGAAGACGATGGAAGCATTGCTATATGGACTTCATCACCTGAAGGCTTGCCATGAAAAGGGACAACAGCTGGCTGTCATAGCCTACTGCAGGCGGAACAGACACAGATCTGTATCCTTTGGTTGGTTGTTGGCAACGGCATTCAGCAAGCTATGCCCGAGAGCTCACTTGACCTTGACGCATTCCAACCAGGATCATTCCTGGAGCCAGATGAGCGGCGCATGCAAGGGCAAATGTGCGATGTGCACGCATGAGTCGCATGATGCTTTGGAAGCAGCCTTGAGGTCAAGGGACTATGTTTTGAGGCAGTTCGGGTTGAAGGCGACTCCAACATACAGTCATGTTGGCCTGGTGGTATACGATTCGGAAGTGGAATCCCGAGAGAGCGATCGAAGATCCCAGGCACCAGTCGGGTCCAGAGTACTACCGCCGCCGCCATGTCCGAAAAGACCACCAGTCCTCCGACCAGCGGTGGTAAAGGCGGCGAGTGTGGCGAAGGCGCCAGTCCCCGTGCCAAAAGGGACACACACCATGTCCCATAGAGGACCAGGATCCGTGAGGGCAGCATCACCAGACCCACAACTCGCTGCAGCAACACCCAAGGCACCAGCACCTGAAGCACCAGCAGCCGAGGCATCAGCACCCGAAGAAGAGAGTCGGTACAATGAAGATGCTGAACTTCGTCGTCGTGACAAGGCCGAGACCTCAAGACAGGCAGAACCAAGGGGTGAATCAGTTGCTACAAGTCAGCCTGATGCCGCGACACAGGCCTT